AAGATTCATACATATATTTAATTTAGACCTATAACCAGCTGCGGAAAATAGAACTATAGCAGGAATCGAACCTACGGCCCCGCAATGCCGTTGCAGTGCTCTAACCAACTGAGTTATAGAGTTCAGTTGTCGAGCTCCAACCACAGGTTCTTGTTTATATAACAGTATATATAGTACAGGTGATGCCATTATATAAAATATGAACAGATTGAAAGATTTATGTAGGATGGAAATTTCAAGCACAAATTTCAAGAAAAATCCCAAGCGCAAATTAAGATTTACAGCGTCATATTCCCAAAAATCTCTATATTTAGCCACAGGTTCGATTCCTGTCAGATGACAGCATTTTCGCAGCTGCTCCTGTAGTTAAGTCTAAAATTGTATATATATTGAATCTTTCGTTATCAATTTACATCTACTGCATGCAGGATCGCCGAGAGAGAGGCAGAGGGGAACATTATCTCGGGCGGGGCTCGCAGAACAAGGGATCCTTAAAATTTATTGATGCAAGATTGATGAACTCAGAATATAAATCCCAGGACCCAGATGATACATCTAAAAATCTCAAAAAATTAAGAAAATTGTCGGCAAAAAATAAACGATTTTATGTCCGCAAAATTTTTCCGGCACCAAATGAACCATTTGTCCGGCGCCATATGTCGTGAAAAGTTTTTTATCAAGATTATACGTACAGTGTAATTTACAGCATGAGCTCCACAATTTACTATATGAGTAAATTGTTAAACGCGTCCAAATTTATCAATATGATAAATGCCAAATTCGCGGCCCTAACCCTTAACCTTAATTTTGTGTTACACAGCTTCGATTATGTTATATTTTCCAATTATCAGTAACCTTGCCCGCTCATTCAAGTGCTACAGTATGTATATCGATACTGAATAAAAAAACAATAAAAAAATCGAAAAATCGAAAAATCAAAAAATACAAAAATACAAAAATACAAAAATACAAAAATACAAAAATCAAAAAATCAAAAAATGAAAAAATCAAAAAATCTAAAAATCTAAAAATCAAAAAATCAAAAAATCAAAAAATCAAATAATCAAAAAATCAAAAAATCAAAAAATCAAAAAATCTAAAAATCAAAAATTCAAAAAAACAAAAAATCAAAAAATCAAAAAACCAAAAAATCTAAAAATCTAAAAATCTAAAAATCTAAAAATCAAAAAATCAAAAAATCAAAAAATCAAAAAATCAAAAAATCTAAAAATCTAAAAATCTAAAAATCTAAAAATCAAAAAATCTAAAATCTAAAAATCAAAAAATCAAAAAATCAAAAAATCAAAAAATCAAAAAATCAAAAAATCAAAAAATACAAAAATCAAAAAATCAAAAAATCAAAAAATCAAAAAATACAAAAACTGTTTTTGTGCTGTCGCGTCTGGGCCACCGTAGAATCGTCAGCTAAAACAGCTTCTTGCTAACTTTCTGCTTTGTTTTGAATGCAAATGCAATGAGCTTTGTTTCTGCCCGCAATTTTTTGGTCAGCGACGACAAATTTCCCACCTGTTCTTATTGGGTGTGAAAATATCACAATAATTGATCAATGTTTCCCCACCACAAAAAAATGGTGTTAACATTTACACCAAGTTATTGTTATGTACATTAGAGTAAGTCTAGATCCAATCTCGTACCCAGAGTATGCCCGTTCGCAGGTTGGGTGCTGGGCATGAATCCCAGCACCTAACTTGCGAACGGGAATACTCTGAGTACGAGATTAGTCTAGACCTGCTTTGAAGGAATTGAGGGACACACAGTTAACAGTACTTTGAGTCTGGTCATCTAGACTATTTCAGCTCACAGCTCCTCCGTCAGCCTTTCTCAGGCTTGCCCGATTTTAGGGACCGCCGGCCATGCAGACTACTCCTCCGTAAGAAGAACTTCTCTTGTGGAAGTTGGTTGTGGGCTTGTCTATACGAAAGATTTATATGGTTGCTACTCAAATGACGCGAATTATCACAAATGTTAAACATTCGGGTCAAATAATTTGGTGCTAAACCTTTCATTATTTTGAACATCGTGATAAGATCGCGATGATGCAGAGGGATGGGCAACCATTTCAAGTGCATGAAATCAGTGTCTACAGAGCTGCAATGAGCACATCATATTGGTGTTGTACCAACACCCAGGAATTTGCAGTGAAGTAACCCTTTATCACTATTAGGGACTGATCATAAAGTAACTGCTAGGGTGGGCTGGAGGTAAATCACAAATTTTGCCAATAATTTCGGTGACCCATCTTAGGATGAAGATAAAAATTTCAAAGCCCATCTAATCTTACAAAAAAATTTTCATGACCCACCCAATCTAAATTGGGAAAATATACTTTTATAATAAAAAAAAACTTGCAGGCATGAACATTACAAATATACACCGGCACTGTATTGACATACATAATTCCACCAAGCTTGACCAACACATTCATCACCAATTACGATACTGAGCTGCTCTCCATTTGGCTGTATTTGCTGTGATTCGTCCACTTCTTGTTGTTGTATAAACAAAGTACTGACTTCAATAGCATCATTTGCAGTTGATAATTTGGATAGTTTTGCTAATTTACTGTTATTATTAATATCTTTATTTTTTGAAGTAGACATGCATGGGTTTTGTTTGGTGGCCCAACCGTGGAAATACAAAAAATTGGCGACCCATCGAAACTACCCAATTAAAGATTTTCCATGGCTCATCCCAAATCACTCCAGCCCACCCTAGCAGTTACTCTATGACCGGTCCCTTAGTTCATTTGAACGAGCTGCCCCAAAACCCGACATTTACATATACAATGAATTTGAATTTGTGGTTAAGGCTCAGCTAGTGGGCTCTGTAGCAGTTGTAGCAGTTAGGTCTAAAATGTCTGGTATTTCTACTTATTTTTCAGGCTGTCGTCACTCCGTTGGGCTTTCTTTTCTGGACCATATTCCGTGAATCGCCGTTCACTTTTCATCCCGCCATTCACATCACAACATGGTTCAGTATTGTAGCTCTTCTACCTATGGTACCAGCGATTTTTATATACAATACTGGGTAAGCAATGCATTTTGATTCCATATACCAATACTGTATAACAAACAGGGCCGTTGAAAGCAGGGGCGGCGCCGAGGCAGGGGGGGGGGCTAGGCCCCCAATCATTTCCTCACCCATTATTATTATTATTATTTAAATATATTTATGCACGGTAACCTTTCACTTTCCTGTTTTCAAAAGGGTGTGCTTTAATCTATTTACATTAATTAATTTGAGTAAAAATCTAAAATGATACAACCATATACGACACACAAATTTCACATGCAAGATAATTATATAACAAGGTATTTCCAGGCATGATAACAGCCAACAACGTGTTTCCATTACAAATACATTTTGTACTGATGTTTCCATCATTAACTTTAGCTGTTCTGAATTAATCGCTTGAATGAATTTAAGGACAGACATTCATAATTTGTCTACAATTTCGCGAGGGAAATATATTATTCCAAGATACTGCTTATTCCAAGATACCCATGAGGATTCTAATTCTTTTCATACTTGCCCAGGCCTATATATAAATAGGATCAAAACCAATTCATGCTTATGATTACATACAGAACACACGTTGTTTCAAACTCCTGGGGGAGGGGATGAAGCTTAAGTTCTAAAAAGTTATAAAGTGCTTTACAAAATCTTGAATTTTTGACAACAAATATTTTTTCGCTATGACATAAGCAATGACATAAGCTATGACAAAATTCTGTGGGTGTCAGACTGTGGTATGGTATCTTCAACAGTCTTGATTGATAACCTGTCCACAAACGGGGCTAAAAATACATATTTGATTGTTTATATTTGTAGTCAAGAGGAAGGCGAAAGAAGTATCGTTGACCCAGAGAAAGCCCCTTTAAAGGAGAACCCCTTTAAAGCGTTCGAAAACAAGGGAGGGCCATGAAAAGTGGGCGGAAATGTTAACCTGTGAAATCAGCACTTCCTGTACGGGTTGACATACTAAAGTAAAGCTTTACCATACTACTACAGCATAGCATACTAATTTTTACTTGTAGTTTATCTTTCTAAATCATGTAATGACTCTATTCAAGTAATTTCATAAAATTTGTAGGTTTTTTGCTTTGTAATTTTGTATTGTATACATATTACACTGTAATTTTAAGCAAAAAAACGAATGAAAACTAGTGATACTAGTGAAAACATTTGACGTCGAAATGTCATATACATGGTCATTAATAGTACGTGATGGCCCTTGTCAGAAACTGTATATAATTAGTATTTGGGG